ATGAGCAACAACTGCATGGTCTTTCCCCTTTCCGCCCATGTTGGGAAACTGCCCCCAGCTGAGGTGAGGTTTCTTCTGTCAATTAAATCGATTCACTTGTGAGGTCTAAACTGAGCAGATTAGGCCCAACAGTCAGAAAACTCAGCAGGGGGAAGATAGAGGCCATGTGTAAACCATCAGGGAGCTGAGGAATGTTGGGAATAGAGAAGCTCAGACACGGATTTTTTCCCCACAGAGCAGAGAGAATGCTTTCCCATCATACTGGTGCCTTGGATTTGAATTTCCAAGTCTCCTGTGAGAAAATAAATCTGTTTAAGCCCTCAGTTTGTGGTATGCATTTCACAGCAGCATGAGAAAGCTAAGAGACGCTGCTTGAATCCTTCATTCCAACGCTTCTGATTGGATGCCCTCCTTACTCTGTATGTTGATCATATGCTATATCTTGGAATGATGAATATCGAACAGTTCTTTTAGTTACAGTGACTGTGTATTCTTTCCATCATCTTTTGATGTTTCCTGCATCATTTAATATTTTTCTCATAGTGTCTCAATCTTGTAACTGGGGGCTTGAATTTTTTTCCTGTAGTTATTTTACTGCACAAAAGCACTCACCTTTACTTGCTCTGTTCCATGGCCTGGCTCCTGGCTCTGCTGTCGCTTCTCTGATAGTGTAGCTGTTGTCTGGATCCAAGAGGTTCACTACACAGAGATCTCAGGTCCAGAGGACCTGGCTCATGCTGGTAATGAGATCCCTTCCTGCCAAGTCTCAGAGAGCTCACTTTATACACAAAAAGTTGGTACTCCAGGGAATCCTGTTGGCAATTACAGGTGAATCCTATCAGTATTTCTTACTGCCCCCACCCCCTGACCTTCTTAGCAGACCCATGAAGGGAAGGGGTCATTTGGTGGGAGTTCTCAACCACAGGAGACCAAGGAGGCAACATTTATCCCAAAACAAAGATCAGAAGACAGGAAGGGGTGGGGGAAAGAATGAAAAATGGAAATAGGGAATCCAGGGAGAATATGGAAAGAGTGCTATTACATTGAGATTGCAACTGATCCCATGAAACAAATATATTGAATGGAAAACCAACTGGTTTTATAAATGTGTACACCAAAACTACACTGAAAAGTAAAATAAAATAAAAGATACAAAAAACTGATAACAGGAATAAAGAAAAAGGATATTAGTATAAAGATAATTAATTTTAAAAAAGCTAATGAATTATTTGAAACTTTAATGAAAACAAGAAAATTCCTAAAAAAAAAGTGACATACCATATATACTCAAGTATAACCCAACCCGAATATCAGCCTAGGCACCTATATTTTTTCTTAATTTTCTAGACATTAACTAATTTATTTTTAACTTTTAAATCATTTTATTGGGGGCTCGTACAAGTCTTATATTCCATAGATCCATCCATTGTGTCAAGCACATTTATACATTTGTTGTCATCATCATTCTCAAAACATTTTCTTTCTACTTGAGCCCTTGGTATCAGCTCCTCATTTTGACCCTTCCCTCTCCGCCCCACCACCCTCATGA